GGAAAGAGTAGTTGAAGCCAGGTTGAGGCAGGAAGTGGAGATTTGTGAACAACAGTATGGTTTCATGTCTAGAAAAAGTACCTCGAGATGCATTATTTGCCTTGAGGATGCTGATGGAGAAGTACAGAGAAGGTCAGAAGGAGCTACATTGTGTATTTGTAGATTTAGAAAAGGCATATGACAAAGTGCCAAGGGAGGAATTGTGGTTTTGTATGAGGAAGTCAGGAGTGGCAGAGAAGTATGTTAGATTGGTGCAGGACATGTATGAGAATAGTACAACAGTAGTGAGGTGTGCTGTTGGAAGGACAGAAGATTTCAAGGTGGAGGTGGGACTACATCAAGGATCGGCCCTGAGCCCCTTCTTGTTTGCTTTGGTGATGGACAGATTGACAGATGAGGTCAGACAGGTGTCCCCATGGACTGTTGTTTGCAGATGACATTGTGATCTGTGAATGAAGGTCAGTTGTAGCAAGACAGAGTACATGTGTGTAAACGAAAGGGAGAACAGTGAAATGGTGAGGCTACAAGGAGCAGAGGTGGTGAAGGTGCAGGAGTTAAAGTACTTAGGCTCAACTGTTCAGAGCAACAGAGACTGTGGAAGAGAGTCGAAGAATAGAGTGCAGGCAGGATGGAACAGCTGGAGAAAAGTGTCAGGAGTGATCTGTGATAGAGTGTCAGCTAAGGTGAAGGAAAGGTTTACAGGACGGTGGTGAGACCAGGCATGATGTATGGTTTAGAGACAGTAGGAATAGGCAGAAGACAGGAGGTGGAGCTGGAGGTGGCAGAGTTAAAGATGCTAAGGTTCTCTTTAGAAGTGACAAGGATGGACAGGATCAGGAATGAGGTCATTAGAGGGACAACACAGACAGGAAGGTCTGGAGAAAAAGCTGGAGAAGCCAGATTGAGATGGTTTGGACATGGATGAGGGACAGGGAGCATCAGCTTAATCCTTAAAAGGTTTAAATTATTTATATAAATAACTTTTTCTAAAAGAGAAACAATTCTAATCATGAACAATCATTTTCTTTTGTTTTATAATTTTGTTTAAAAATGTACACTTATCTACACAGAGGAAGTATGAGAAAGTCAGACGTGCATTAATGCCTGTCTTGAAAAGTTCCAGATACGGTTATAAAATCAATTACAACTTATTCACCTTAACATGTCACATTCATAATTTAGTCACACCTAATTTTCCACTCTCAGCTCCATCCTCTTCTTGTGTATCCAGAAAGTTTTTTTTTTTTTTTACAAGATCCAAGTGTCAGATCCTGTATAAAAAGTACAAACAAGCAGTACTGCAAATGTTTTTGCTGAGATACTGCAACAGCCTCAAAATGGTTACAGCCAGTCAAATCTGCATTTAACTTTTTTATTTACTGAAGAACTTCCATTGTACACAATGTTGTTGGGCCAAATTGTCGGGAAATGTATTATAGTTTTTACTTCACATGTTTCACGTAGTGGCGCTTTGGCCCAGAGGCAATGTCTCTGTTATTGGTGTGGAACCCCAGGGTTCACCTCCTGGGCAAGTTTGAATCCTGGTTAGGGCAGTTGGTACCTTCCAGTAGACTCACCACCTGCAGGAAGGTTTGGGGGGTTGGTATGGTGCAATGTGATTTGGGTGGCGACTGCTGACCTGGTAACGGATAAGCGGATGAAAATGGATGGATGGATGGATGTTTCACCTTTTGACATTTGTAATTTTTTTTTTTCCTCCTTCGCCCTCCTTCCCCGAGGTACGTTTGCCCATTCCCTCTTTTGGCTCCTCTCATGTCGGCTGAGTGTGACTGTGTACAGAACATTTTATACCCACTCCCTCAGACACACACCGTCATTGGGGCCCAGGCCTCAGACTGGTTCTTATGTAATCTGTGTGTCTCTGTGTATACTACATGGTCAGTCTTTACCTACTGCTTTCTGATGCCTTCTGTTTCTGTTCACAAACAAATCATTTGCTGACTGAGCTGCTGCCCCTCTGCACACAAGTCTACTGATCATATCATATTCTTAAGAGCACATTCATATCTTTCTGATATTCAAGACTGAGTATTAGGGAAGTGGATGGTTTGCACAGAAACTGAATGATGAATGGTCAAGAAGTTGGAGTCACCCAATCACCACTCACTTCGATTTATTTTTAAGGTATAAAGGATATTATTAATATAAGTCTGTACTGTGGTTTCTATGCCTTTAACCTAAACATGAACTCATGGAAAAATGAATTAAAACTGTATATTACTAAAATAAAGATAATTACAAAGATATTATATAAATAGTGACATGGTAATTTAATCTGTCTTTAAAACAATGCAGCTATATCTTAATTCCATCCTGTAAACACTTTTTATAACTGTTGAGAAATCAAAGCAGGTCTCACTACTGTCTTCTAAACATTCCCTTTACACTCTGCTGTTATTTTTCTGTCACAAAACAAAATTGACCCCTTTGTTGTAAAACTTAATTTGCCTTTGCGTTATTCGATGTAAGGATGTTGGATTTTCATTAAACAGAAGCAGATGTTATGCACCAAATAAACTGAATCAGTTCACTTAATTAAATAATTAAATATCTAAAGAGAGCAATCCCTGGAGTGTTTTACAGTATTGAACATGGCCTTATTAAACTACTTTCGATGCCACCGTCTGATCTACAAGAAGGACGGCCAATGGCTGATGTGGTGCCAAATTGTTTGGCGGATATTTTTGGACAGTTCCCTCACAGTTATGATATTTTGATTATAAAACATTCTTACTGCGGTAGAGATAATGTGTGGGTTCTCATGGGAGCATTTTATACTATTTAAAATAACCACACATATGACACAACACTAAAAAATATCCAGAAAATTGTTACATCGAACGCAACTGGACAAAGTAGGTTTTTTGAAGACGTTTAAAAAATATGTATTATTTTCACTTTGTCCTGTTCTGACGGCATTATTTCATGCCATCTGGTTGATTAAATGTGAAACCCAAGAACCACTAACCTCACTTTGACCCCGTGAACCTGCTCTGACGCTGTGGTTCGGCTTTAACCTTTTGGGGTGCCAGGACAACTAGGGTGAACATTTTTATACCGGAATAATGTGACTACCTTTAAGTTGTCCACATAATCTGATGTATCTGAAACAAGGTATTAAAATTATTTGCCTTTGTTCTTTAGCTCAAATAACAATATTGTGTCTGTGCGTGTGTGTCTTAGGTATCAGCAGACTGGGAGCGAACATCCTTGTGACTCAGCACAGCAGTGCGTTTAAACCCAGTCCTGTGTTAGGCACGTACAGCACGGATCCTGGTTTTATCAACACCAACCTGGTGACCACAGCCGAGGAGTCGCAGGAGTTTGATGACCTCATATTTACCTTAAAGACTGGTGAGTGTCAGACTGTGTAACATTGTATGGTCTTTGTGCTGGCCTTAAATCTCTTTGTTTTGTTATGACTGACACACACACCCCTCCTGCTGATCTGTGGAAAAATAGTGCAAAAAAGGTTGGAGACCACTGGTCTAGGGGATCCAGAATGTTGCTTTGCAACAATTAATCCCAAGTAATCTGCCATCTACGTCACTGGGACATTTGTCTCATGTCATGTCTTGTCCTCCCTCCATCCTGTTGTCCAGTTTGTCTGTATGTCACTGGAGCTGTAAATATCCTCAGAGCGCCGGTGAACGAGCCAAAGGGATTTATTGCCCCTCATCCTTGCAAACTCAGCAATGTAAAGCGCTCATTCATAATACTGAGTGAGGCTAAAAGGCAAGTTTGCAAGTTTTTTAATTAACTCAGAGCTGTTGGCTCCCTGCAGATTCCTGCATTTGTCTCAAAATGAAATATGTTCAGTATACAGTGAAATTGAGTCTCCGTTCTTTTGTCATTGCACAACTATTACTTTTAACCTTTGACCACATGCATGGCCATGTTCATGTCACACCGAGTCCATAACCTGTTCTAGTCCCAACTGGTCAATCAGACAGTCAGCAGTAAAAAAAATCGATAATGAATTACATAATTACATAACTGGCTGACAGGTCACTAATGCATTTTAATGAGTTTCTTAACTTGATAGTAAACCATTAATCAGACATTGGCCGACAACAAATTACACATAAACAATGTCTTGCTCGTGTCAGAGCCTTGACTCCTGTCCGTGTCCTGACCCTCTGGTTATGTCACAACCTGCGGCTGGACTGACTTTCAACAAATCACTTATTCTCAGAAAAGTAACTGATTTAACCAACCATCAAAGTGTATTTGCACAATTACCGATTAATTCTGTTCATAATAATAATGATTACACAGTTACATCCCTCAGAGCCTGTTCCTTCTTTGGTTCTAATTGTAATTTGTTTGATAATACTCCTTAAAGATTGAGCTGTCACGTCTGACAACAGTTGTGTGTCCTACAGCAGTTCTTCTGCTTCATACTTGTTAATCTCCTGTTGACTGACCGTTTTCCCAGGGTTAAAAGTTAAGATTTGGCTGATGTGGAGCTATAGCACCAGTGCCTCCAACATGACTCAGCTCCTCTGTGGGCCTCACTGCTAACATGGCTCTTCAGGGTTTCTTACAGTTGACAGGCTCTTGTTACTTGTTTAAACTATCAGGATTAGATCTCATAGAGGGTTAGTGGAAAAATGTGTACCTTCAAAACATTATTTTCCTGGGCTGATTTTGGAGGTTACTGCCAGATTCTACAATAAAGTCCATAAATTCCAACTTTCTTATCGATCATCTCTACTTATTTTGGTTCTCTGGTAAACATTTCAAGTCAAAAAATCTCCTTCCAGCTGCAAAAATAAAAGGAATACAGGCAGAGGACAGTGCTCTATAAACAAATACACTGTCATATGCAACTCAGATCATATTGTACTTGTAGAATTGTTTAGTATAATTTAATTGTTTATTTTTTAGGAAGCTGTCGCATAATCTACCTTCAAAATTGAAATGTGATCTGTTTCTTATTACTGTATTTTTTAACTTAGCAATTCAAGTAATCTAGCTACTTTAACCGTGGCTCCTTTTGTAGCAATTTTATACATCTTAGTGCAGTTAATGTACACTATTCTATACTCTGTCTCAGGTTTTTCATGATAGAACTACCACTACACAAATATTTATAAACATTTATAAACACTCAGCTGTATGTCACAGCACCTACCATGACTGATACTGTACATCACATGTACAGTTACATAATACCATGTTAACAGTAATGAGCTAATTGTGACATAATCAGCTTCTGAACTTGATCAGCAGCATAGAGTCTACACACTCAACCATTAGTTGGAACTGGTTGATGGTCTCACTGTTGAGTAACACGTACAGAATATATATAAATATACATATGGATTAATATATACATATATACATATATATACATATATATGTGTGTGTGTGTGTGTGTGTATACATATTATGGCATGTCATTCAGGAAATTAATCCTTGAATATATATACAGAAAGTTTGAATATATATAGAAAAAATTGAAACCTTTTTGACCACAGTGCCCCAATTGGGGCAGAGCTACGCCTGCTACCACTGAACAGGCGCCTCAGCAGATCCCTATAAAATAGCCCCTGCATATGTCATGGTTATATTTGTAACCCAAGTATTACAAAAGAAAACAGTGAATGCCGTGTAATAGAAAATGTAATAAATACGTTTAAGAGAATAAGAACAGATTACAGTCATAAAATCGTTAGAAAATCTAAGCTCACTGATGTTATGTTTTGATAACGAAACAATGTGTATGGAAATGTTATATTAGTGTCTAAACTGAAGGAAAATGTATTTATTGTGTGCAAGTGAACTGCTTGGGCTATATAACTTGTAGTATTATGGCTTTAAGTTAACTGTTTACTTTGAAGTGTTTGTAAGCTCTTGGTCATGTGGTCATAAATTGTAATAGTTTACTTCTTAGGAAATGTGTGTTCCTTGACTAGGTTGGAATCCAGGTAATGGATTTTGGTGACCATAAAGAGGAAGGTTAATGATTTTGTCCTTTGTCTGAACTGAAATTTAACGACTGTGTGATGTAACCATGTAAAACCATATAAAAGAGAGCCCACCTAACAGGGGGTCAGTCGTCTCTAACAACTGTATTAGACAGGAGTTAGGAGCGGCTCTCTTGGCCAAGATATTTAGAATAAATCCATCAAACTCTGTTGGCTTTTGATTTTTCTAAATTATGTAAAAATGTCTACGACATAACGCTGTCCAGTGTGCTGATGGTCATTACTTACATCTTCCAGAAAGGAAAGGAGCAACAGTAATGCAAAGAGTGATTTATGTTAACTTTTATTTGAAGATATTTTGTTTGATAGCTGTCATATGACGTAGTATACTGTGTTGTCTTTATATTTATATTGATTTGTTCACAGGTTCCTTGATGACTCGCGGAAAATGTGTTGTTCTGCACCGGATTGTTCATTCTTTCTTCCGCATTGCGAGTGAAGCGTGGTCAGTAAAAAAAAGAAAAAAAATAGAAAGAAAAAGGGAGAAGAGAAGCAGAATAGTGAATAAAGAAAGATGTTTATATCGAAGCTGCTTGTGTCGCACTGCTGTTATTTTTTAAAATACTTTTTATACCCCGCTACGTGGGCACAAGATACAGGAGCCTGGCTTGTGGTAGGAGGCTGGTGAATATATATACAAAAAGTCTGAATATATATTGAAAGATTCTTGGTATATTCTGATCCGGATCACAGTACCAGTCAAAATATTCTTGCTGTGCGAGGTGACTTCAGGCATGGAATGCAGGTACTGACTCCTTTGTGCTGTACGTGGTCACACGTAGCTGCACAGAAACACAACAGTTACACCCAGGTCTGCCCACAGACACTCACCTCTGTCGTCTGCAGTGTTGAAACACAGAACTCCGGGAAGACTGGGTCCTCGTCTGATGCTGCCGAGGTCCTCGCTGTCCGCGTGCTGTGCACAGAGGAGTAGAAAGATGGAGAGTAAGGCCCAGAGACTGAGGCAGTTCTTTTTCCGAGTTACCCCGACCACTTTAGTACATATAAAGAAGCAAATCCCTTTCAGGTTGCAAGTTTGACTCAGGACTGCCACATAAATCAGTGCAGGCCCAGCCCGGCACAGTCTGGGAGCGCCATGGGAGTGGTAGGCGGCTCTATGGTGAGGTTTTTGGTAAAGGATTATGGATTGAGACATACAGCTGGGAGGCTAAAGTTACACTTTTCATTACCACTTCGAGGGGGTCTTGGCTGCCTGGAAGCCAGGCAGATTTGTGAAGACCCCTTTCTCCCTCTGGAATAGTTGTAACTCTGCAGGCACATTCCTTACCTGAGAATAATTGTTTTTGCTGTGACAAAAGGGCTATGTGACTGTGTGTGCTTGGGACAGCCTTTTGGTGTCTTATCAGCTTCCTGCCGCAGACCCAACGAAATGTGAAAACCACTGAAATCTAACCTTGTTTAAGAAATGACAGTGACACAAGCTAATACCATAGAACCAGCTAGCACCATAGAACATGTGTAAAAGTCATGAGAAAACATGGTTACTTTAGCCACTAACACTGTTGGTAAATTACTATTACAGTACTTCATTACATCACTCATTTACTATGTTAGCGGCAATGTCTAATATATTCTGTTCATTTTGAGTTTTTGTAGTTTAAGGCCTCTGAAAATTAGCTGAGTAACTGCAGCACTTTTTTTAAAATTTATCAGCATCTGAATTCACACGAAATGCACGAGTTTTCATATAGTTTACAAACACAGAATATTATTATTGATCCTATAAATACAGTAGACACTATACTTGCTGTACTAGGTTTAGGTCAACTTGAAACAGATGATCTCATCCCACACAACATGAAGATCATCATATTTTCTTCATCAGCTAGTGGTGAAACAATTAGCCTCATTCTCGACACAGGCTAATTGACGAAGTTCACCTCACTACCAGTCTGACTGGAAAAAAGACTTCAGTCCAAGCTGAAGTTCTTTCATCTGTGTTATCTGTTATCCACTGACCATAGAGGTAACGCTGATCCCTCTAGTGTCCGTTTCATTCTGTAGCCACTAGAATCAAACAAAA